AACTTTAAAACAAATAATATTTTACCAATAAACAAGATCAATAAATGTGTTGGAGCGCACTTCCAAAACCATACTAAACATATATTAATATGATAAATAAAAATAAATTAGACCAAAATAAATGAAATCAAATATGTTGCAGTGCACTGTCACAACCTACTGAAAACTCCTTAACATATAGCCAACATTTTGGTAAAACATATTCAACATATTCCACTCAGTTAAACGTTGAAGGCTGGCCAACCGTCATGGTCCAGAAGTAACAGGAAATAAATGTTGAACTACAATTTAAGACCAAATAAAAATGTTTAGGTCACCATGGCAAATGCTGGTAGGGCTGCTCATGTCATCTCTTAAAGATTTTTTTGCAAGACATACCAGCCTGTTTACATGGTCTGGTTTCAGAGATGAGCGCAGGCAGGTGACAATATTGCCACCTGTACTGAAGACCCTCTCTGAAGAGGAACTTGTGGCAGTGCTGCCACATATGACACAGGAAAAAAAGAAAAGACTCTGAAGAACCCTTTCTTTGCCATTATATAAAAATAGTGTTGCTACAAAAGTATAAATTAGGCTTACTAATAAGACAACTCAGATCTGAAGCTACACAGTAATCTGCTGCAGCAACAGTGCAATAAAAAAGACAACATTAATAGAATCAAACCCATTTTTTGTTGCATTTTATTAGAGTATAAAAATAAATGCCTTTAAAATAGGATGCAAGCAACACTAGTTTCTGAACTGATAGACTATAATCAATTTAAACAGAACAGATCTTAATGTTTGCATTCTTATACCATTTTGTACAATAATTATCATGAATAAATTCAAACAAACTAAAACTTACAGCAGATTAATAACGGTATCTAAATTGAGTTTTTATTATATCAAAAACCTGTTGAAATACTGCTGTTATTTTTACTGTCCCACAAAAGCGCGTCGCAGCCTCCAGGAAAGCTTATTTCATAACTTTGCCGTCTTTGAAAGACTTCATGTGTTTCGCAAGAACGTGACTGACTCGATAAGATGCTATGGTAGCAGCCTTGCTCTTGTTGTTGGGCCTGGTGAAAATGGACTGCTGTGCATTTAGCTGTGCTCTCAGGCCCCTCCCCTTTTGGAGCGTAGGGCAGAATTAGGAGGGAATTCCGTCTCGTAGCGTTTGTGCACTGTTTTGAAATGCCGCTCCTAAATTACCCTTATTCGATAAAGCCACGCTCGCATTGCAGATGAGACAGATGGACTTTGAATTGGAATAGATACAAAAATAATGATCCTCCCACTTGGAGTGAAAATTATATATTTTGGGCTTTTTTGCTTCTGCCATAATTGCGGTCTTGTGTGTGTCACTCCTGTTGACCATCCATGCTGTTGACACGGACAACGTCAGCGAACTAGTGCACTGCTCACCAGCCACGCCCGGACACATGGGGTGAGGCCGGCCAATCACAAAGCTTTGATGCGTTCAAGTGCATTATTCTGGCACGGGAACATTATGTTACAGGACATTAACGATAAAACAGAATATTGTTGTTCTATTTTTAGACACATCTCGCGATCGACTGGGAATCTCCCCGCGACCCTTCTTTTTAACTAGTTGCTGCTCTTGTTCTGACATCTTCGCTTGCGCTGAACACTCACAACACATGTCACTCCCACGTGGCCGAGTGGGCTTTTAGGGAGAGGCGAAAGCGCACCCAGCAAAATAATCGTATTTTGTCAATTATGCTGTTTTCCTAATCGTCGCAAGCCATAATCGTAATCGCGATTAAAATACGATTAATTGCACAGCCCTACTGTCGCCCTTTAGTCCCTCTCTCCTGTCTTTCTCTCCTTTCTGTTCTTTTCTTAGAGCCTGACTTTGTGAGTCGTTGAGACATGTTACAACACACGTATGTAGGCTACTAGCATCCCTCCTCACATGCTTTCACTCTGCTAGAAAGTGACGTTTCCGCGTTTGGAGGCAGGAGTCGCAGGACCAAACCATTATATGTAAATAGAGGGGGTGTACAGAGGCTTTGGATAATTAACTTTTGGAAGAAAATAAGTTAAATGAATCGTAAGTTTAGTGAGTAGCCTACTACGCAATATAACGTTATATTAATGTTAATTATTGATGAAAGGGTACTTACATTTTTTTTCTTAATGTTCTAAACATTTTGGGGCCCCCTGCTTGTCACGGGCCCTTAGAATCGTCCTAACCTTTCACCCCCTTACGGCGCCCCTGCACGCTTGCACCAGGACCGGGGGAGGGGTTACATGACATGCATCGTGTGCTGCATTCATTTGCACTCGGACATTAGAGACTTTCTCTCATAAATGTCCGATGAGCCACAACTTTTCTTTCAAAACAAAGCTGCCAACTGGGGTGGCAGCTGGGGTGGCAAGGCCTATTTTTAGGGTGTCAGTTGCCACCCCGGTAGGTGAAACTAGGCTACTAGCTACAGTACAGATGGAACTAGATGAGCTGTTAACTCTCGCTCTGAATAATTATTTTTTACTCTGACTCAGACAGGTTGAAAGAGACGAGACACACATTTTTCCCACCCGCATTCCGCGAAGACCCGCCCTACTGTGCCTCTGATTCGCAGATTGTTTTGGGGGAAAAAACGCTGACGGGATGCTGAATGTGATTGGACCAATGCGTTGACAGACACACACAGACTGTGAAACAGGACATGCAGAGCGCTGTTTTCAGTCTATGGACATAGCGGATCATTTTGACTCGTTGCGTTGTGGCGATGTCTCGCAGATAACACAGATAATACAGATAATACATATGAAAAGTATAATTTGCTCAGAGTACAGAGACAGTTATGGTTCGGTCCGAATCCGGACCGGAGTCCGGACTTTGAGGATGCCTGGGTTAATCCAATGTGTCTGTGTCCCTTTGAAATGATTTCTGATAATCCATAAGCAATAAACCTGCTTTTCCGTTTCCAGATGTCAGAGCTAGAGATAGGTTCGCGCTCATGTAAACATGTGTGCGCATAGCTCTCATTTCTCAATGGTATGGTGTGTGTGTGTGGAAATTCCCCTTCGATTTTATTGGCTCTAACAGTCAAAAAGAGATGTCAATCACCAAAATCGACCAATGGGTTCAAGAGAAACGGTAAAAACGGCCATTTCCACACAAATCACCTCAGAGATGAAATTCTTTTTTTCTAAACCTCTCTAAAAAGGTCAAATGTCACTTGTTTTGCATCAATCTTGATACAGGGTACTTATTATATGTTGTACTTTGGATTCCTAAAGCTTTTAGTCTACCTTACCATCATCCAAGGGTAGTTTTCACTAAGTAAAAAATAATTTTTGGACGGACACTATAATTTACAGTTTTTTACTATGTTCAATCTGAATTTTTCTTTAAATAAAAAACATCTATATTGATTCTGACTTTTCTACATCCAACTCACAGGTTTATCATTACTTTGAGAAAAAAGATTATTAATTTTCCCCTTTTAGAAGTGTAGTTATGGTAATTTGTTCTGGAAATGTCATTTTCGAGCCTGAGACCTGAAAAACAGGCTCAGTGCTTAACAGTTTAAGAAACAAAATATCAACTTTGAACAGAAGGGTTTAAAGACACGTTTTTAATGCAAATAAACTTGAAACATAAACCTATTTGTCATTTCAAAATGCACTTTTATTGTCTGCGTGAAAGGCACAGTAGGCTATGAGCGAATACATATCAACATTCAAAAATTAGAAAGTCGTACAATATATACCATGTGCTACTGTCTAGGATTAAGTATGATGAGACTTTTCAGCCCGCGACCCCCAAAATAGCAGTGCCAGAGACTGGCAACCCCCGACGGGATAGTGATCTCCAGTGTGCTGGGCAGTGTGGCAGCGGAGGGAGCCGAGGGTACCACCGGAGGAGAGTCGAGCGATGACAGCAGCATCACCATGGTGCAGATAGGGCAGACCTCATCCAGTTAGCATGTATGCTAACTGGACATGCTCGCTCAGTTAGCATACATATATATATTATTTATGTATTCCATTTCTTTAAATTGAATATTTAAAATACAAATTAGCAAAATAAACACAATTATACTGCGCTAAACAGCCAAAACGACAAACAACCGAGAACCTAAATAGTATGTAATTATATCTAAATCCACAAGACGTTAATTACCTGTACTTGGTGCGCCATATTGTCTGTTGTCTGTAAATCTCCATGTCTGATTAAATATCCTTGCGTCTCACGTGTTGGGCGCCCTCTCTTCTGACCATATTTGGAAGTACAACTTCCTACAAATTCCTACAGGTTCAACCTCCACCGGCTGCGGCTGCACCCTTCTCGTATTTTGTGGCGGAAGCACAGCACCACTTACATGCCCGGCATATGTACTACAGCGCCACCAGCGGGTCGAGCGGTCTCGTGTGGATGGACACGTTTCTTGAGCCGATTCCGTGTGGATGGAAGACTTTTTTGAATACGACTTCGGTTCGTTTTCATTTTCGTCTCCCTGTGGACGGGCCTTAGTAGAAGCATATAAGAAGCTATGCATACAAACAAATATGAAAATAAATCTTTTGAAGGCAAGCAAAAAGAGCTTTAACAAGAACAATGGTTTGGGACTGCAGGGGATGTTTATTCAATGGAAGCAAACCAACTATACATTTAAAAACTGATATCCAAACTGTTAAATGCCCCTGATAACGGTGTTGGTTCTATTTTTTTATGTCGTATTCTTTGGTAATAGTAAAATTGCTACCATGATAATAATTGCCATGATACTCAACTATTACCCACAATTTATATTTTCATATAATTAGACAGACCATTTTTTTATATGAGCAGAAAGACAAGTTTGTGAGAACTGAAAAGGAAAGCCACCAAAATGTTACAAGAAATGTAAAGTGGCCAGCTGAATGCTGATTAGAGCGTGCAGCTGAGCAACCAATCTACTGAAGGACTGTTCAAATCTGTTGCTGATTTATTGTCCTATTAGTCGATGAGTCAGCCTGAAATGTATCATTTTAATTTTTTTTAGAGAAAGAATCAGCTGAGGGAAGCTTACTGCAACAACCTGTGGGATGGAGCCAGGAAGACCCTGGCTACTCTGTGGGACGGACATGGATCCATATGGCACGGTAAGACCCCATTAGCCGCTTTCACACCAAGTACTTTGCCGTACTTAGTGCCGGCACTAAGTACAGAACTAAGTACAGATCGCGTTCACATCGGAATAAGTTCCCTGAAGGAAGATTACGCAAATGAAGCCACTGACGTCACTTCTTCTGCTTTGGGTTTACTGGCAGGCCGCAAACAACTTCACAGCGTATACTGCCACCCGAAGTCCCCGGCCGGAAGTCCCTGGGGTTGGGGACTGGCTTCAGTAGAAGCTGCTGGGACTCCCAGCAGCATGTGGTTTGCAATTCGCCCAGCCAATCGAAATTGGTACTTTTTTCTCCCCAGGATAGTACAATCTCTCTAGCAGGCACTAAAAATGGGGGTAAAAGTTCTCGGAACTAAGTACTCTTTTTGGTGAGCAAACGCAAAATTCCAGGCACTAACGGAACTAAATGGGAAAAGTACGGGGAAAAGTACTCCGGTGTGAACGCGCCTATTGGCTCAGTATAACACATAAATAAAGATAGATGTCAAGAAAATGGTGTGAACATAAAGGTCCTCACTCATGTACCCATTAGCCGCGTTCAGACCAAGTACTTTGCCGTACTTAGTGCCCCGGCACTTATTACCCCCAGGGCACTTAGTACAGATCGCGTTCACACCATGGTTCACACCGGAATAAGTTCCCTGAGGGATGATTACGCAAATGAGCCACTGACGTCACTTCGTCTTCTTTTGCTTTGGGTTTACTGGCAGGCCGCAAACCACTTCACGGTGTATACTGCCACCCGAAGTCCCCGGAGTTGGGGGACTTCGGGTGGCAGTATACACCGTGAAGTACACCTCCCAGCAGCTTCTACTGAAGCATTCAGAGTAAATCGCCAGAACGCCGACACCTCCTCATCTCCACCGCTCCCATGTTTTATTTTGTGTTGCCATAAGTTAGTCTCTCTGCGTTTGTGCGCTGGGCGAATGCTAATGCTAATAATGCTAATACGAGGATAATAAAATAGCGGCTCTACAAAACATTTCAGAGTTTTACGGGGCGTGGTTTGCAATTCGCCCAGCCAATCAGAACTGGGGCACTTTTTTCCCCCAGGAAACTACCATCTCTCAGCAGGCACTAAAAATGGGGGTAAAAGTTCCCGGCACTCAGTACTCTTTTTGGTGTGAACGAGACATAAGGGGTACTAACGGAAGTAAACGCGAAAAGTACTCCGGTGTGAACGTGGCTATAGATGTACTACTAATGAAGCACCCGACACTACATTTCTGGTATTGTGACCTTCTGAATGTAAGGTATATTCAGTGGTGTAGTGGGGATTTTTTTACTGGGGGGACGCTATTTGAATTAGGTCATCCCAAACAATGCCACACAAGTGCGCACGCGCGCAGTGCACTCACAAAACGGGCAGACAGGTCCACAGAAACTACCGGTATGCTTAGTCCTACTTTACTTACTGTACTGCAAAAAGCAGACGATGCTGCGCTCAACACACACACACAGACTCAAAACCATGGACACACTGGCACATAAGTTACATAAACAATGTATAGGCCTAAGTTGCATAAGCTACAGCAGGGGTCGGCAACCTTTTTGATATGAAGTGCCATTTAAAAAAAAAAAAAATGTTATCAGCGTGCCAACAATCAAGAATTATCAGCTCAGAGAATTATCAGCTTGACTCTCGTCAACTATCAGCAGGAGGGCGGGGGAGCCTCGCTCCGGGGAAGCAGTGTGTGGACCTGTCAGCGCAACTTACATGATGCCGAATTAAACAAAGACATTTAAATAATTGGTTTAAACGGCATAATAATAAGGACGATCGTCCGTTCTGTGATTCTCCAGAGCACACATGTTATGATGGTCATGCAGAGTGAGATGAGATCGCTGTCCCTTTAAAAGAGAGAGAGAGGGGTGTGGCTTGTGTTTGTGGATGGTAGAGCGACAGTGAGGGAACGTGTGTATGTTTCTGGAAGTGAAACGAGGAAGCAGAAAAACAGAGGTCTGTGATGTATTTTGTGAAACAGAAGAACAGCTAAATAAATGCAACGGCCTCCCAAGAAGAGCTCGCCTCTCTCCAGTCATTTAAGCTAAAGTGCGTTATTGAACCTGAAGCTTATTGTTTCTGCCCTCCTCGACTACGGTCTGGGAGCCAACAGGAAAGTTCAACACACAGATGGCCAGTCTGCCCCTTTGTAGCATATTATTTCGATGAGAGATGAGCAGATCGCCACTGGGCTTTCAACTAAAGACACAGCCACGCAAAAACTGCGGCATTTGTACAGCTCCTCATGGGTACTGCAATTAGTGAAGTGCTTTCCTCCGTGGTGAAACGATCAGCTCCACGGAGGAAAGCGGCAGAAAGTCACCTGGAGTTAAAGACAACGGGGCTGCGCTGCGTGCATGGCTTCCTTCTGCAGGTAACGGGGAGACGCGTTCTGGCGGCGGTCTCCTTCAGGATCCGAAAATACAATTTAAATATTTTGCACACTTATTCCACTTATTCCTAGTGTGCCACTGGTTACCAGGGGTTGCCGACCCCTGAGCTACAGTATTGCAACTAAGCAGACAGCGCTGCTTATCTCTCTCTCTCTCTCTCGCAGCGTCCACACGGCGGCGTGCATTGAAGCTTGCCGGCGGGCGTGTCTGAAACTCGACCAACAACCAATCACATGAATCTCCCGCCCCGGACACACAAGCAGCGGTTTGATTGGCTAGAGCTTGTACTGGCATATGATTTGATTGACTGACGCTTCTGCCAAAGCTTCAAAAGTTGAACATTGTTCAACTTTTGAAGCGAGCAACTCGAGCAAAGCGAAGCAACGCTCCCAGAATGCAGTTTGGCAAAGTGTGACGTCACCCCATTCAAAGTGAATGGGCAGAAGCGTTGAAGTTTCAACGCACGCCGCCTTGTGGACGGGCCGTCTCTCTCTATCTCCACTTTCAAAATCTATTTAAAACTCATAACAAACTAACAACATTCCCAAAGTTGTCCTGAAATTAACTTATTGAATAAACAAAACGAAAAATATAGCCTACTTATGCAAACAACATTGAATCTGGACTTGAAATTATTCTGATGAGGCCTAGCCTACATTGCAAATAAGCAGACTGCGCTGCTTTTCACACACACACACACACACACACACACACACACACACACACACACACACACACACACACACACACACACACACACACACACACCCCTTGCGTTTTGAAGACTGATACATCCAAAATGGATGAACAAACTTTGCAGCCCAGTTTCCCAGCTTTGCAGTCTATCCACGGGTATGCCTCTTGTTTCCTCCGCCACATCTCCTCTGTCCATACCTCTGGGAAAGGTGAGCTTGAGCTAGCCAGGGGAATGTTGCTAGCGCAGCTAACGTTAACTTTAGTGCTAGCATTATCCACGTCTTCTGGTGATGTAGTACTAGCAGCTTCACTTGTGGTGCTGCTAGCCTCTTTCTTCTTGTGAATTATATTCTTTTTAGAAAATAAGTCAAGTAAAAAATGTTTGCCTGCCATTATAGAGCTTTTTCGTTAGCGTTCTTGAGGGAAATAGCTGCCGCAAAACCGGCGGGCGGCGAGCTGGCGGTGCGTGTGTCACTGACACACCCCCAGCTGGCCGCGGGGTCACGAGCGTGATGGCGAATCATAATTTTTTAAGAAAATCGTTTTAATTTTTTATAATAATTACTGTGAAATGTATTATGTTTTTGTCATTATTACAACAAATACACACTTGCAACTGATACACTGGCAATGATTTTATATTTTTTAGACTATTAAAACAAAGATCATGCTTCAAATAAGTGGGGGTACGGCGTACCCCCGCGTCCAACGCCCACTACACCACTGGGTATATTTGCCTGTAAGCAAACCAAATATATGTTGGCAGGTGTAACCCACATTAAAGTATAACATGATTAAATATAAATAATTCATTCAAATGCATAAATATGTTAAAAAACCCTAACCCTTAAAATGCACAAATTCATTTGGTTAAAAGTCATTTCATAATGGTTTTGACAATAGTTTACTTGGAACCATGCCGACAAGAAATGTGACGCTTCCCCTTTAAGACACTTGTTGTCATTCGTAGCTAGCGTGCTCAGAGCAAAGCAGAGAGGAGAAGCAGAGAGATGAAGTGGAGGAATAGAAAACCGCAGTGACGCATCCTAAAACCCGGAAGTAAACTTCTTCCGGTTCCTTCGTCAAAAAGCAATGAGATTTCTCCATAGGATTTTGAAAAATAGCTCGAAATAAGGTCTGTGGTTGACACATTTAAGAGAGGGATCACGTTTTGTTCAGCCGGATAATCTCCACATGTCAACCCTACTTTTATAATTTTCGAATCATAAATCTAGTCGCCAGAAGCAAAATCCTAACGTTATGCTATAAACGAACTACAAGCTAGTACAGCAGCAGGGTCGCACGACTTCAACGTCACGCCAACTTAAGATCCTTTCAACTGACTTTCGCGCGCTTGCATATTTTAACAAAGCTTTTCATTTGGATATTATTTCATAATTATTTTCCTTATACATGTGATGTTTTGGTTTTGTTTCTTTCCGTTAACCGTCAAGTGGGAAATACGTTTTTTTTTGTGTTTCTGTTAGTATCCTAAGATACTGTTATGTTTGTCTGTGAAAAAAATTGTTTTATTATTATGAAGGGCAGACCATCTATTTGTATTTATTTTGTTTATTTTAGAAAGGGGCAGGTCACATAAGATTTTATTCTTCTCCCTGCTCCTTTTCGCTCAATGATGTTTTGGTAGAGTCATGTTTTGTGGCAATTATTGTACATTTAGTTTTGCGTACCATGAGCGGGACAAATAACAATGAAATGAAATTGTAGCCACACTGAATTTAACTAGAAGTCATGGCTGTGTCAATTACCAGTCTGATATCGTTTTACAAAGATGACAAGAAGAGTGTAGATAGAGGAGAGAACCACTACAAGTCAGGACACGTACAACAGTGCAGCCTAGATAAAGGTGTGCTTACCGGT